AAATAAAGCTAAGCGCGCGAATGATTCCATGTTTCCATCGCGTATCACCCTGGAATTTTCTCCCCTCGAATTTTGCCGCTAATTTTCTGCGCAGTCGGATCATCGTTGTAATACTCGTGGCTGACGTTCTGGCGTAAATCTGATCTCGTTATTTCGGTTTTCGACGATGTTTGCGCATTAACAACACGCTTCCCTTTCATCCTAAATATATAAAGCAAGCTCGTGTAACACGTTGGAAATAGCGTAATAAAAATTTCTATTCTTGCGAGTACATTGACCGAACGCAAGTATCTTCGCGTATCGTGTTCACAAGCAGAGAATTTTCAATACTTTTTGACATATTTCGTTTCCACGTTTATGTTTTTACTCTCTACAGCGAGACGCGAGCGCTAATGAAACATCTTCGTACTTGTTCCTCCCTGTACAATATGCGACACGATTTTCAAAGCTTCTCTCCCCTTGCCACGCGGAACACCTTTTACATCTTTGAAACGGTCGCGGTGCGCGAACGGATATGGGTCGAGACTTTTGGGACTCTTCAAGAGGAACAAGGGCGGCAAAGATAAATTACCCACCCGAATTAACGATCGTTTTGAAAAGGTAATTTAAATCGGTGGACGAACGACGACGGTTTTAACCTGGCTGTCCCAGATCTCTGCGGCTCTTTTTCCCCCCGTTTCGAAGTTAAACCTCTGTTTATCTCTGCCATTTACAGCGCGATACATAGATTTACATCGCTTTACATTGATTTACATAGGTTTGCATGAGATTCGACGAGAAAAAGATCTCCGCTCGCATTTAACCGTAGCATCGAATATTCACGAATGTTCCCCGAAAAGATTTGGCATACGATTTTTTTCTTTTTGCCCTTTTGAAAGAAAAAAACCTCAAGCTATTAACCTGACGCGAATCGTTTCTTTTCACAGCACGAGCGCAACATCGCCCGGTTCAGCTGCGTGCTGAACCAGAAGCGTCAAGCGTTTCATTAAAAGCGGAATAAAAGGGACAACTAGCAGCAGCGCTAACGATCGCAAAAGCTGTCGACAGGAACTGATACTGATGGTCGAATAAAGCGAAAAATTCGCGCCCGTTTTTACACCCGTTTTCGCGCCGGCCCGAGTGTTTACAGGTTTTTCGAGCGGCGCATTACCCCGCCAGGCGCCAGGAGCTCTCGCATTTCCCAAATTGGACGCGTGCGCGAACGGCGAATGGAGAATCCTCGCGACACGTTGCGAAGAACTTTGCGCAATTTTTTCGGACGATTTCGCCGCCGTGTCGTGCCGTTCGGAACTTTTATCGCCTCCATGAACGGGGCAACACGATTGTATCATGCGCAGTTGAGATAAACACGATCCACGAGATTAAACTTTTCATTCTTTCGTACGCCGAAAAATTTTGCATGAAAAGAAACGTTCGGTAACGTTCGCAAACGAGGCACTGGCAATTTTGTACCGCCAATTCGCATCGAAAGTTCCATGGTATTTTATATAACTTGGAAAAGTAAAGTGACGCTTCGTACTGCAAAGCGACGACGATTGAAAAACTGAATTGCACACTAAAGATAAGAAGTGTCCTGACACACTTTCAAGCGACAGTTAAAAGATCTGACAACGTTCGAACGAGTTAAACAACTATCCGTGACGGAGTGTGCTGCACGAGCAAATACCACGCTGCGATACTGTTAATTAGGGGAACGTTATTTAATTGTAATTACACCGATGCTCGCGCCGTTAATATTAATTACCAAGCGTGTCGA